TCTTCTTTTGTACTTTGGTCTAATCATGAGAGTTCTTCATTGGAAGGACATATTCTATATGAATGAAATATGATAATAACTTATATATAGGTTGAACCATGTCTCTTGTGTGTGTGTGTGTGTTGAAGATAGATTATACTACCTTTGATTACATATACAGTTGTTACATTGTCACTATGTGTTGGGATTTAACAATAATTTAAATTCACTAACAAACACATACAATCGAAGAACAAATCAAGAATATAAAGTAATAAGAAACAAGAAAGAACAAGACACAGATTTTACGTGATTCGGCAACTTGTCTACGTCCACGAAACTACAGGCATTTCACTATTGAAGGAGTTAAATACAGAGAGCGGCTGTACAATCCACCATATTAACCCTAATCACCAAAACAACGAATTTTATATGTCCTACGCACTGGGCTATATAACGGGCCCAAAACCACACACCAAGCCTTCGCTCCATGGACTAAGCTTTAGAAAAAATTTTATTAAAAAATCACACAACATTACTTCGGGGTTGGGTCATCATCCGGATCACATATACAAACTAGACTCCACAAAGAACCAACACTATGCTAAGATGGATTTGACATTTTATCTATGCATGAAGATTATTAAATTCTTGCCTATGAGTCTATGAAAATTATTGAATTCATGTCAATGAATCTATGAAGATTACATATATCTATACACATGTCTTTGAGAAGCAATTATTCGACCGTTGTTCTGCTTGAGACAGAGTGTCGAGTCATGAACATTATTGTATTTATCCTTGAAAATCACATAGATCTACTTACAAATCTATCTAATATTACAGCTTGTATATATATCTACAAGCAATGGCATAGGCATAGTCAAACCTAATAATTCATCCGTCCACACAGAAGGAAGTAGGTCAATTAAGAAGAAGGCTCCTTGTTATTCAAACCAAAATTAAGAGAACTTGTTGTTACATACCTCACCACCACCATGCATGCTCGTATTAATATTTTCTCTTTCTCTCTATTGATATATCAAGGAGAAAATTTACCATCGAAAAGAAAAAGAAATGAATAAGTCTTAATATACTATAAATAGACTCGTTATCTATAAGTTTCAAGTTTTAAGTGAGTTTCGATTCTAAACATGCTTATTGGGCCAATTGCAGTTGAGTTCACTATCTCTGTGCAATTGGTGTGGCTGACATGTCCTCAATTTTATATGATTGAATCCCTTGGTGTGTGGAAATAACGAATTAGAAGGAAAAAATGAAAAAAAAAAATCTTAATATAATATGAACGAGTTTATCACCGCCGGGTTTACATTTTTAGGTGACTTTGAATTTTAAACATACTTATTGAACCTCTTGTTGAACTCCACTAACCCCCCCTTTCAAACTCGCAATGTGTATACGTGACATGATTAAAAACGATAAGTTTTATTTATTTAACTGTAATTTTAGTTGATAATTTATTTTCGCAACTCTTCTCCGCCTAAAAAATAAAGAAGAAGAAACCACATTATCTAATGGACACGGAAATCAAATCATACCTTTCAAACTAAAATTTCAGCTACCACATAACCATGTAACATGCAACAATCAAGGGATGGAGATTGTTGTGTTTTTTTTCCCAGCAATTAAGATTGTTGTGTTTTGCATAAGGAACGTAGTATTGAGCAAGACAACAAGAAGGTTATAATTACGACAAGATTTGTAAGAACTTAGTAATGAAGGAACACACGAGTCATACAATTGTTCTTAAATGATTGCGACAAGAATTTGTTGATTTGAGTTTTATTTTGAAAAGTATGAATCTAGTGTTGGTTCGTTGTTTCCATCTTCATGACTCTTCACAGCCCAATAGATAAACATGCAAGAAAAAAAAACCATATTATTTGCTGGTCACAACAATCAATCACACATCGAAAACTAAAATTTTTAAGTTTCAAATGTAACATACACCTAGATATCCGTAGGTTAAGATGTTAAGTTGAACTAAACTTTTGATGTCATCCTACTCGAGAAATGTCACGACAACATTTTCAACACTATGCTAGAATGGTCATGTAGATTTATATATTGTGTTCACTTATATGAAGATATAGTACATATGTCTATGCACAAATATAGTAAGGAGAAATCACATGGTCACTATGCTAAAAATAAAATGGGGTTGACATGTAGAGTTTTTTGAGACAAATTTTTTGTTGTGACAGTTGTGTTCACCGTCATTTAAAAAAAAAAGGTGTTTTGAAGAAAAAGAAATTTTTCGTGATGGTAGTGCTATCACAAAATAGTTTTTTGCTACTGCAAATACCATTTGAGAGGACTTAATGCCGTGGCATTGGCCGCCATGATAAGTGGAGGTCTTTATGGCAACAATAAGTCATCTCAAATGGCATTTGCAGCAACAAATAACCCTTTTCGTGACAGTACTTTTGTCACAAATTTTTCTTTTCTTTAAAAACACTTTTTTTATTTTTTTGATGACAGTGAACACAGTTGCTACAAAAAAAATTATCTCAACAGGACATAATTCTTGTATTGAGTTAGGAGCTGTTTGTGCTAGGTTGGTGTTGGCTGCATATTTGGTAGTGGAGTCAGATTCAGCGACAGTGATTTCTTGGGTTTCTTCTCAGGGTATTGGGTGCTAGATTTATGTTTGCATGCTTGCTCAGATTAGGCTTTTGTGTGCTTCTCTCTCGGCTCACGTCTGCCACGTCTTGTGAGAGGCGAATCAAGCTGCAGACTTCATGTCTAATTAGGCTTGCTCTCAGCAGCTCAATCAGCGTTTCCCTAATTTGTCATCCCTTTCTTCTGGGATTGCTGGCATCCTTGCCTTTGACGCTCGACAGATTCCTCACGTTCGTCGTTGAATTTTTATTGATATTTTCAGTTAATTTATTTATTTTTCCTGCTTTTGGTGGTGAGTCACCACCTTACTTTTGTTTTGTCTTTCTTCCTCTTATGGAGGCTTGACTCTATGTTTTCCTCCCTTGTACTTTTTGTTTTTAGTTAGATATACAGGTAGGGGTCCTGCCAAACCTCCCACCCACATGGTGGCTAAAAAAAAAATTATTATAAAAATGACTTTGACATTTAATGCAGACATGAGAATTCTTGTGGGATCATGAGAGTATGAATCTATAAAGATTACATATATCCATATCCATGCACAATCATCTTTCAAAGCAATTACAAAGACAAAAAAAAAATTAATGCTTCTTCATGATGTTAATGGTATAAATACGAGAACTACATTCAATCCATTTCATCTCTCCTAACCTTCAAACTTGAGAACACTAAAATGGTTTATTCTTTGTGTTTCCGCCTTCTATTCTCTCTAATGGTTATTTTCCTCTTCATCCAGCCTTCCATTAGTTCTAGTGAGACCGAAGAAATGATCATATGGATTTGTGACCACTGTTGTGGGCTTGATCATCATTACGGCTACACCGTTTTCGTCCATAACCTACCTGTTCCAAATACAAATGCTATTGGTTTAAATCAGATAGCCATTGCCCAATCATTGCTAAACGCGACAAGCAATCATATTTTCGTACTAAGGTTGGGAGACAACACAAGTGATCCGAAACAGAAGGGCCTTCTAAACATTTGTGTTGAGAGTTATAGTAGACTGACAGACATTTTCTCAGAGGCCTTCAGGCTATTTAATTTTCGGGATTACAAAAATATGGCTAGCTTTGAATCCAACGCAGCTAAACAAATAGATGACTGTCAAACTGCTTTCAAGTGTCCGACAATGACGCAGAGAAATTGGGAAATGAAAGAGCTCAGCAGCATGGCAGTCTTTGCTGCCAAATTGCTTATATCAGGACGCAAATGATCGAGAGAGCTCATTCAACATCGTAGTGGTGATGGGAAAGCATCTTGTGGTTTAATAAGCACCCACCATCCAATTCAGTTTTTGTTTTTCTCCTTTGTTTCTTCTTATTCAAGTTGCCCTAACCATGCCAGTTCTCAATTGAAAATAATATATGATGAATGAAATTGTTTTCAAGTTACGCTCTCTTTAACAATATAAGTTTTTAGAGCACAGAATAATTTAATACTTACTATAACCATGCTGGGATCTTATATCAGTTAAAAATAAGATTAAATATATATATATATATATATTGTTGGACACCTTTTTTTTACGAGCCTATTTTCGGGGACAAATTCTATCTATGAATTCATAACAATTATACAATTTAGTTTTTACTTTCTTAAGATACATGCAGAGGGAAATGATTGTGAAGATCGAAATAATCAAAAAATTTTGAATTCCATATATTACAACTTTACAGATTCCGTTTGCTTGGTCGAGTTATGTGACTACCTGTTTTTTTTCCTTGGCTGATCAAGACTTCAAGAGTCATACAGTAAGTGTAAGAAGAGTTATTGCAGAATTGCTTTATAACCAAAACAAACCTATAGCTACTGTTTGTGACCTTGTATAGGTTAAACTACAATGCACCACATTGAAATTAACCTAATAAATACCTTCTTTTTAATTTAGCTCTAAAAGATATTTTAAATGATAAAAGGGACAAACTATAAATTATTCGAGCTCGAATCTTGGCAACCCCTTAGATTCCAGACAATGAGGGATTTATCTCTCAGTTAGCCTTTAATCTAACCGGGAAAAGAATTAATCGAGGTGTGCGTAAATAAGTCTGCCTTTAACCCAATCGGAGAGAAGATTAATCGAGGTTAGTATAAAAAAAAAATAAACAAGAGCCTTTATTTGCAACCAAAGTTATAGTTGTAAACATCTAGGATTCTAGAGTCTAGACACAGTCTAATACGTTATTTGCTACAAAAAAACTTTTCAATGAACAACCCTTCATCTTCTATGAAGGAAAGCAAATCAAACCCATATTCTTCGTGTGGCATTCCAAGTAGTGTTTGATAAAATCCGGCGCATCTGCTTGTTGGTGGTTGAGCAAGAAACTCGTTTGGCAGCTATTGGTTTCCTCCAGCATTGCAAGTCTGCGAACTCGAGTGATCTAAGTACTCATGTTGTTCTGCAGTTGCTGATGATCATCATGTTCATTGCTGAAAACAAGGTTTTTCTGAAAACCGACATTTGAGGAGGACTCAAATGGTATCTGTTGTCCCCTACTTCCAGCAGCAATAAACCCATATTGATCATCATAGTTTACCATTGGAGGAATCAGTGGGTCATTTCTGTCAATCATGGTTGGTAGTTGTCTAATGTACTGATTGTGGTTGAAGACCATTAGGCCTGATGAATTTGTTTCATTGATTTCCCGTGTTGGTGGTGTGACACTACTCAAAGGCACGAAAGCTTCTTGTTGATTAGGAAGTTCTGGTTGCTGTTGGGTCAATTGGCAAGCTGCTTCACTTGAGGACTTACCAACCTCTGATCCAGAACATTCATAAACCAAGTACTGGCCAATTAGCCTATTATTTATTTGGCCAAACTGATCATCAACCTGAAAAGGACTAGACTTTGTGGGTAATTGGCAAGCCAACCAAGTGCTTGGACTTTTTGCTTGGTTCATAAGGTTGTGGGTTACAGTTCCATTGACCACTGCAGCTTGGCTCGCCAACCTCAAGTTCTGTGTAATGGACTGGTGATTGCTTCCTCCTATCAAGACTTGTTTGATGAACAGCTACAACTGATGATTCAGTACACAGCCTTCCTTGTACACTGCTCACTTGCCTGTCACTTGGGCTCTTTTCACTTTCTTTTTTTGATTTCTTTTCCTAAATTCTACACAGCACAACATCGTCCACCAGTATAAGTCATGTCGTGTCAAAAAAAAATTATTCATCTCATACCCAACTTATTTATAAATGTGGATTATGTATTTGGTATGGTAATAGTTTTACCGAGCCTAAACTTTCATCGAGCACATATTCTTGCATTATCCAAACCATCTTTTGACCTTTGCCTTGTTCGCCTTCTGCCTTGAGGGTGTAAACCAAAGTGTTCTTCTTCCCTAAGAGTAACCCATCCAACTCTCTAACCTCATTGAGCTTGCTCGTCATTCTCCAATACCCATTATCATCTTTGTAAACTGAGAAGGTCTCTTTCTATTTAGATATTTTTTCTCTCTCAACGTAAAAAAGAACGAAGATTCAACTTCTCTTTCAGAGCCTTTTTTTTTATTTGTCACATGTAGATAATGAAACAAGAATGTCAAGAAAACAATAAATTACAACATCAACTTAATCATATGTTATCAGTATTCAAACTCTAGCATCTTTCAACCACTATCATTGAGATATTAGAAAAGTTTGGATATATATACCTGGAAGATCAGACGGTTGACATTGATAGATGTTTGTATCGTGGATGAGTCCGGGCAAGATGGGTTCTCCATGCACCCTTGCCAGCAAATACTTAAAAACCTCTCTATCAGTTGGATGAAAAACGTACCCTAATGGAATGTATCTCTTCCATTCTGGTTCTTGGTGATTATTATTGTGCACAGCCATGGTTGCCAAAAAATCAATATTCAGTTTATTGGTGTAGGGTTGTGATCAACCTATATATATATATAGAGAGAGAGAGAGAGAGTGAATATAATCATCAAGTCTTGTTTGAATTATTTTCGAGTTTTAGTAGAATTGTGACTCTCCATGATTATTATTTTTTTTTTATTGAAATTAGAATTAATTTCTATGTTTTTTGTTGGATTGGAACGTTCCATTACAGTTGTAATATTACAAATCAGTTATCTTTTAAACCTACAAGAATTGGGATAAAATGAAAGGCAAATTACAGTTAAGCCTGAACAAGGCCTCTTTGACAAATATCTGCCAATGTTCTCCACATTAATGAAGGGCTCTATTTTGGCAAGCACTATATATAAAAAAAAAATTGGAGTTTTTTGTTTATTTTTTTAAGTATTTTATTGGACGATTATATTACGTGATAATACCGATATTGTATAACCGTTACTTAAATATTTATTCACAGATTAAGAGTGTCTTTAATAACCCAAATTCAACATTTGAAATGTATGTATTCGACACTAAATAATTAAACCCGTTGATAATTAAAATTAAAATTTCTTAATATATAAGTGCTCCTTAAAAATTGGCAAAAATATTAAGTAGGAAATCTCTAACTTAATTCTGAAAGTTAAAAACGTTCAAGAAAAATATATTTTATAATTTTTTCAATATAACAATTTACCCTGAAATGTTTCATAATCTTACTAAAACTCTAAAGTATTCATTTCTCCAAAACCTTCAATCTCCCTAACCTGTACTGTAACTGTCAAAGAGGTCCAGTATGCTCTCTTCTCTCTCTCTCTCTCTCTCTCTCTCTCTCTCTCACACACACACACACACTAACTAACATGTAAACACACACACACACACACGCATGCGCAGGCGCGCACACACACAAACGCAAACACAAAATCACATGCAAAATTTTTATGCTCAATTTGTGTGAATAAATTGTAAGCAATTAAACTCTTGATTTGTAATTTTGTGTCATTTTTTTGATTTTTAAAATTGATAACAATTGACAGTTTTAAGTGATTAATTTAACTTGAACTAATTTTATTATCATCTTTGTTTTTGTTAAATGTAGAGTACGATATGATAATAATGATATATCGTGATTTTTTATTAGATAAATGCATATTTTATAAATATTTGTAAAATAAAAAATGGGAGGATAAAATTGAATATTAATTTATTTTCAACTTCAGTTGTATATAGTTATTAAATATTTTGGTTTAATTCAGTACTTAAATTTTAGTGGGTACTAAATAGTCCATAAATTACAAATTCAGTATTCATCTTTCAGTTTTATTAAACAACACCAAACTCCTCCATCCCATAACATCACCTTAACAATAATGAATTACGCAGTTCAAAAATCATATTGATTGGAATATGAGATCTTAAACGAAAAATCTGCAAAACCCTACAATCTACAATGTTATAGAGTAAGAGGTTTCGTGTCCAAATTCCATCGCCACCACAATAAGTAAAAGACTTGCGTGAGATTAGCTTTAGTGATTTAGAAAAGGAGATACATAGAATCTAAATAGAATCTTGATACTTAACTGATAACCACAAAGTAATTCAATGAATAATATACGCATCAAATTTGTCATTAAGGCATGCTAGAGGTGATATAGGTAGTTGGGGTTATTTGGAGTTGACTTTTTTAGGTGAAAATTTATGATTTAAAAAGTTTCGTAAAAAAAACAATAGAGTTAAAAAATTTTCCAAAAACTATTTGGATGTTTTTCAATTAAAAAGTTGAAAAAGTCCGTTTAGAGTATTTTTTTTTAGCTTTTTTGGTTTTTTGTTTCAAAATAAAAAAATAATTACATGTATATTTTATGAATTTTCCAAAATATGAATCTCAATATTTTTACGTTACTAATAATATTTTATGAATATAATAAATTAAAAAGTTATGTGAGACCAGTGGCAAAACTCCAAAAAACCAGAAGAAAAGCATATAAAATCAATTTCTTGAATCAACTTAAATAAGTTGTTTTACGTTAAAAAAAACTATTACATAAGCTGGTCCAGAAGCTTAGGTCCAAACATACCTAACTTATTTTATTCCAAAACCTACAAAATCAACATATTTCAACCAGTTCCAAATAGGCCCAAAATCATTCGGTGGCGCATCATTTAGTCCTTTTCGTCTTATTTTTTGGTTAGTCTAACATTGTCTTATCTAAGCTTGTATTAATACAAATTCAGACATTAAGAAGAAAATTAAAATCAAAATTACACTTGTTCATATCCGACAAAAACCCATTATTTGTATCGTTTTCAAATTGATGGTAAACAATACACAACCCCAAACTAATAATTTCTTTGACTTTTTGAAATTCCTCGTCAGCCCTTTACCCTCCAAGTACACCAACTAACATTTTGTATTGTTATAGTAAATTCATTGCGTGCAAGTGAACCCCATGAAAAGGTGGTCCTTTCCCCATTGAAAAGGCATCATCTCATGACCTACTGGAACTAAAAAGTTGCACTTTTGTAGTTAAACTGTGAAGCCATAGCCTTAAAAATCCGAAACAGACCAGGGATGAGGTGTGTGCGCCTTTCAGCCACAAATTAGTTCAAAACCCCGATAATGGAGGGAGGGAGATTTTATTTATTTATTTATTTATTTTGATAGATTACTTATTGTGAATTTAAATAAAACTTAATGTATAAAAGCGAATTCTCTCTCATTAATGATGCATATTCTGCTAAAAAAAATAAGAAAAAAATAGTATTGTTGAAAATTTGAATCCATTATAAAATCATCCAATCACAAAAACGGATCCACGAGAGAAAATTAACTCATGCACTTGTCTTTCTAATGGACTGCTACACAACAATATTCTTTTAATCTTTTATTATAGAAAATAGGTATATAATTAGATTATATTAAATTATATGAAGTCTAATTTATGCAATAACAAAATTGAACTTATATATGTATATTGTTATATGCAACTTAATCAAAATAGAAAGTAAACAAAATCAGTGCACTCACAATGACACAGATCTACACGAATAGTCAAATAAAAAATCAAAATAGACAATCTGAGCCTTATGCAAGGTAAAATGGATTATGTCTTTGTAGAAGTAGCACTTCAATCTCAATAGATCAGTGAATACAACTTGTATTTTATATTGGAACTTTAGAGAAATGCAATGCAAGAAAAGAGAAAGTAGAAAAATCCGAATGAAGACTTTAGGATTTTTTGAGATAGATTGAAATGGTTAGAAAACTATCTAGTTATTATTGACTCTTGGTTGTTGTTTCAGATCGCCTGAAAAGGCATGAGTTGTCACTGTTCGGATTGATGAGACATACTCTTTTAATCCGATTAGCCACAAAGTAGAAGATTCTTTTCTGTAACAAATAGATAGACTTCTTTAATTCGATGCCAATTTCAAATTTAATGGAAATAAAATTTAACATCCCGTTGGACTTCAATTTTTTGTTGGAAGGCTGAGATCGATCAGTGGACTGGACCGTTCGGATTGACACACAATCTGCACCACACCAAATGAATTTTGTCAAAAAAAAAAATTATACCTTTTTGGCCCAAGTCCAAGTCTGATCAAGTCGGGGCAAGGCGATGCCCTTAGGGCCTAACCCATGAAGCTAACTAGAAGTATATTAACTCACCAAAGTATTGGTCTTCTTCCAATGTGAGACGAGTCTTATTCCACTACACCTATCTTAGTTTATATCATCACTTTAAAAAAGTCATTTTGAGACTTAATTTTTCATTTGATATTTTATTATTTTAGATAAATAAATATATGACGTTCATCTCCTCGCGGAGGAGAATGCGTTTAAACTTAGTTCCATCAATTTCGAGGTGTGACTTCCACTTTTATTTAAGCCTCAAGTTGTCCAAATAATCTTGTTTAAAATTATTTTTTCCAACACCTTCTTAATAATTCATAATAATTTTGAACCCTTATGGGTAATTCAATAGTTGATCTTAACATCTGACAATTTAGAGATATTACGTTCAACATTTTTCATATCTCGTAAGGGCTAATCATCCTTATTCTTCGAGGGACAATTTATAAACCCGTTCAGGCTATAGTAGTCAGTATGCGAGTTCAAAAAAATAGTCAGTCAAACCCTGAATATCCTGTAGGAAAAAAAATCAATAATAATTTTGATCACTCGTCTTTCAAATTCTTGATCATAAAGTAAATTTGAAACATATATAACTATTTTAAAATCATGCGTATCAAATCAACCACAATAAAATTCAAATCTTAAAACTCTAGAATAATGACATGAAACCTTCGAATTTGAGATATCTTGATGGATTCTTTTACCCTTTTTTTATTTATTAGGAATCACCCATCATTTTCTTTATGTTTTTAATTTTATCAAAGTTTAGTGACCAAAGAAAGATATTAAAATATGTATTTTTACAATTTATTATTGAAAAGAATCGTAATGCATCTTATTAATAGAATGGGTCTACGACAAGCAACCATTGATCATGCCCAAGTAACATCGTATCAAATTTGTCCAATCTTAACCCAAATAAAAAAATCGACTACCTAATTCATCTTCGTGTTTTTCATTATGTGATTTTTTAAGGGCGAATTGTACTTTGTACCTTAAAAAATTTTAAGATTTATATTTTATATCCTCAAATATTAATATTTTTATATTATACCTTCAATATATCAAAGGTGTTGTAATGTTATCTTTCTGGTAACTTCTGTTAATTTTTATGTCAATGACAATGGAGGTGATTTTTGAAGGAAAAAATAACAAAAGTCAACAGAAAGACCACATTACAATAGTTTTGATAAATTGAGGATGAAATATGAAAATTTTAATATTTGCGTGTGCAAAATAAAAATTTTGAAATTTTTTAGAGTGTAAAGTGAGATTTTTTCTTTTTTAATAGGTTTATCTATTTATCACGTGGGGCCGACTTAACTAAAATCACATTTTTTTTTAGATTTTCAATCATATTTATGTTTCCTATCTATCTTGATGCTTAAAATTGATATGCAAATAAATTACCCTATATATTTGATAAAAATTATTATCTTTTAATATCACGCAACTACACAACTATAGACTCCATTACACTTTCGTCTACTAGTCTAACTAATCCATTACACACACGTGCTCTTCACGCGTAAGTTAGTTGTCAAAATTTAAAAGGATACGGAAAATATCCTGAGATAAAATAGACATACACGTGATTGTGTACAAAAAACTTACTACTGCCGGATCAAGATTGAGGCGGCCGAATGAAGGGTATAACTTTAGGCTGCCAATTTTTAACCTGTCAAGAATGGAACGCGAAATTAATAGATCAAACACAAAATTAAACGAGTTAATAGGTTAAAATAGTTTAACATGCTTAAATAAAAAAAAAATTATGTCGGGTTCGTATCAAAATAAAGTCAACCTAATTTTGACTTGATTTATTTGTATATTTTAAACGAATTGACATGATTCGGACACGAACCCAATTTAATCTATTGTAGACCGGTTTAACCCATTAATGACAATATAGTTTGTCTATTATGTATGACTGATGTGATATTAACATTATTATTCATTAGTTCTTGCTTCTACTATGATAATTGACAGTATAGTTTTTAACATTATTATAACAGTATACTAGTATAGTTCTTGTTTTAATTTTTGGGTTAAAATTTGAATACATTTTAATTAATTTCATTGATGAATTGTAATATGTTATTTGTAAAAAAATTATTTTAAATTTTAGATGGATGATTGAGTGATATATATAATGGTAATAAATTGGTGTGGAAATAGTTTATGTGTGTTAAACAAGTTTGTATTATATGTGCTAAATAAATTAAACAGATCATGTTATGTTTGTTAACCCGAAAATGACATGTTTATTAAACGTGTTAAATAGGTCGAGTTAGTATAACCCATTTAATAACCAGGTCAGATTAGTGTTTACACATTTCGACACGATTATTAAATATGTTAAGTTTAAGTTTTGAGATTTTTGACACTAACTTGAAATCAATTCAACTCAAAAAATAACCCAATCCGACACATTTGACACCCTTAACTGCGACTAAACACGCATAGAATATAACTTCTTAGATAGGTTTTTTTTTTTATTTTTGTAATTAGCCTTTTATGATCTGGCAATAGCAATTCGTTGCCTATTAATACGAATAAACAAAGGCTGAGTTTTTCACATAACAAGTGGCGCGGTTTCTGCATATAAACGCTTCCCTGTTCGAGAGGCGATCCGATAGGCGCGCTCTCTCTCTCTCTCTCTCTCTCACACACACACACACACGCGAGAAAGTTTAGCGAGCAACCTCGTCTTCGTCATCGTCTCATTATCGCCATCATCTTCATCATTAATGTCCCTTCTCTAAGCTTTCTTTCTTTTCACACTTCTCCCTCTCTCTCTCTCTCTCTAAAACTCTGTTTATCTCTCTATAACATATCATATATAGACATATTTATCTATGTGTTTAGGAAAACCTTAATTTGATTGCGTCCATACCAGTATTCTTTTCTTTATATATTTAATATATGGGTCGTAATTTGATTCCTGTAAGTATTTATTTTATCGAAGACCGCTTCAATTGTACAAAAAGATGCGTAATCATTGTATTTATAATTGTTATCGATTTTGTTTTTGCAGAGGAATTTGCATAAAGTTCGGATCTGTAAATCATCGATGAGCTGTATTTGCGTGTTGTTTGACGAACAGTAGGGAAAGATTTATTGTGAACGATTGTGAAAGGTTTGATCAGTTATGGAGAAGAAGAAGAAGTATCCAATTGGAGCTGAACATTATACACTTTATGAGGACGTGGGGCAGGGTGTGAGCGCTTCAGTTTATCGCGCTATCTGTGTTCCTTTCAATGAGATCGTTGCAATTAAAATTCTGGATTTCGAACGTGACAACAGTAATCTGGTAATTCAAGGCCCTGTTTTATTTGAATATTTTGGGTAGGATATGTTTATGTTGAAATTGAATAAGAATGAATGTTTAGGAAGTGACTTAAGTTGTTTTGTATAATTCTGCTTATACCCTATCACTGGGAGATGAGTTATGAAACAATGCAAATGCTTTCTACTTTGTGTGGAATTCAGGGCATATGATCTAGGATAGTCATTATTTGTTTAATGTTTTAGTTTGCGCTTTGGCACTCAAAACTAGTCCTGTCAATTGTTTTAATAGTTGGCAATGCTAAATTTCGTTTGTGTACGTAAGATAAATCAGTTTTTTGACCACTTTCTGTGTAACCCCTGCAGAATAACATATCTCGCGAAGCTCAAATAATGGTCCTGGTTGACCACGCTAACGTTCTTAAATCACATTGCTCTTTTGTTAGTGATCATAATCTCTGGGTTGTCATGCCTTATATGGCTGGGGGTTCTTGTCTTCACATATTGAAGGCAGCACATCCAGATGGTTTTGAGGAGGTTGTTATTGCTACGGTATTACGTGAGGTTTTGAAGGGTTTGGAATATCTCCATCATCATGGGCACATTCATCGAGATGTCAAAGTGAGTAGTTGACTCTCAATTTTATCCAAAGCTCCCACAGTTAATTTGAAGCTATTTTTATCTATTCAGCCAATTACCTTTAATTACCTCATCAGGGATTTAAGTGAACTGATTGGAATTCTCATTGTGACAAAGTTGTCAATTTATTCGGGACATTTTCATATGCTTAACATGCTTGATGTAATTAGAATATAGCTTTTGAAGCATTACAAAGTAGTGAATATGGAGAAACTCCTAAAGATGGGCCAATGTTAATACCTCTTGTCTCTGCTAGAGATTAATTTTATGTTATTATGTTCTTTCAAGTTTCATGACCAATCATTATATTGGCAATTCATTTGAACCTCTTTTATATATTGTCATATTGGAGAGTGTTGTGTGGCTTGTAGAGTTGTTATGATGGTGGGTTTTGACATGTTTTTTTTTTGTATTTCGTTTTTTGGATTCTTGGTAAGATGTATGTCCTCCGATATGTACTTGAGTTGTACTTTTTAAATTTTCCTATTTTTGATGAAGTTTGTTATTTATAGAAATAATTATTTTGTATCGGACTATGTTTACCTTGTATCCATTCTTATTTGTCTTTTGTTCCTTGTAGGCTGGAAACATTCTTATTGATTCACGTGGTGGAATCAAATTGGGTGATTTTGGTGTTTCTGCTTGCTTGTTCGATTCGGGTGATAGGCAACGCATGAGGAATACATTTGTGGGGACGCCTTGCTGGTATGTTTTTCCCTATCATATGCATCTAGACGTGAAATATTTCATAGCTTTCATTGGTCAAATATATACTTGATCATCTTGGGAATTGCTAAGACATACCCAGCCCTAACAGAAACAAGAAAACATTAGTAAGTACATCCAGAACACTTGAATGATAACATAGAGTGTACGGTAAAGCTGGGCCAGAGTATTGCAATGTTGACATCTAAGGATGTGGCTCAAAGTATACTGACCTTATTTTTTTTTTTTTTTGCCTTAATTATCTATAATGAGATGATATTTATTCGTGTTATAGGATGGCGCCTGAGGTTATGGAGCAATTACACGGCTATGATTTCAAGTCTGTTTCCATATCGCTTACAACTGTCTTTTTTATTATAATTGTACTACATAATATTTGCTTAATTTGTCTGAGAATTTCTGCAGGGCTGATATCTGGTCTTTTGGTATAACTGCTTTAGAGCTTGCTCATGGCCACGCTCCTTTCTCAAAGTATCCGCCTATGAAGGTGCATACATCTTACGTACTGGCATGGTTTTATATGCTTCTTTAATGGAAGGGCTTTTTAATTCATCATATTGTAATATTCATTTCCATTTGACAGGTACTGCTTATGACCTTGCAAAATGCACCCCCTGGTCTTGATTATGAGAAAGACAGAAAATTTTCTAAGGTATGCTGTTAATAGGCATGATGCTGACCACAATTCTGTAATCATGTCTTCTATAAAAAAAAAATCATGTCATTTGACGTTTGGTATGCTTCCTTTGTCCTTAGTCCTTTAAGCAGATGATTGCTGCTTGCTTGGTGAAAGATCCTTCAAAACGGCCCACAGCAAAGACGTTGTTGAAGCATGCTTTTTTCAGGCAAGGTAGATCAAATGATTATACAGCACGAACGCTTTTAGATGGGCTGCCAGCCCTTGGTGATCGTCTTCAGGCATTGAAGGTTAGTGTTTCTGAGGATATAACTTCATACGTCCAAGATTCATCTATATTACTTCAATTTATCCTTTATCTAAGTGGTGTTGTGTTGTCTTACTAACAATAGAGAAAGGAAGAAGATCTGCTGGCACAAAAGAAAATACCCGATGGGCAAAAGGAGGAAATGTCACAGGTTTGATTTCTTGTATCCATAGCAATAAGAAGTAAAGATTTTGATAATTTGATGAACTCGAATTTCTATGGATTTATGTTTTAGTCTTTTGTCTCCCTTATCGGAGTTTAAGAGTGTTTTTTCTCTATTGTATTTTGGTGTTGGTAGTCAATATTATTCATAGAAATCTTACTTTTCTCCTCATTGTATGTGTTATTTATCTTGGTTATTGTCAGATCACTACCAAATGGCAATGATAGTTTGTCTGGTTGTTCAGTTTTATGACTCTTGATCTCATGCACCTATTTGTGAATAAGACACTGATTATCAGTTAAATTATTACAACTTGGCTAATCACATGGTTTTTTCTTTTAGACTTCATTCTGTCTGCATTTTGTGAATCTGGTATGGCAATTTGTCTGGGTTTCATGACTCTTTGGATGCCATGCACATAGGAAAATGATAATTTAGTTCAATTATTACAGTTTGGCTAATGGCATGGTTCCCACATTCCTCTTATCTACTTCCATCTGGGAGAATTTTAGAACTATGATTTAGAGATAGGATCATCTAAAGTAGGGGCACTGGAAAAAAGTAATATACTCTACTGCCATAGCCAATGTCTCCACATGTAGGTAAACCCTCTTATATCTGGCCAGGCTGGCTGGGTCCAATCCCATGGTATGTTCCAATGAAGATCCTGCTTAATAGAGCATAGCTTCACTTAATTTTGGGCAATCAGTTAATTGGGCACCATTTTCAATTTTTTTTTTTTATTTAATTTTAGATAGACTAGGTTTTCTGAAAATGAAAACATGATTTTATATAAGGATGAAATGGTAAATAGCACAATTATACACAATAGGCCTCTCTCTCTCTCTCCCCGTATACGTGCATTATATATATCTAAAATCATTTGAAATCGTTTAGGAAACGTTTTTAGCCATTTGTACCAAGATTTGCAGAAAATGTTAATTGAAAAATCATTGAAGAAGGAAATTGTTAAAAACTTACCCGCATAGTAAAATACAGTGCACAATGTGTGATTGCTATAACATCCATGAAAGATATATGCAGGCAGGATAAAGAGAAAAGAAAGCTTAATAAGTTTTAAAGATTCAAGATCATGGAAAGGACAACTGAAAACATTCTGCTTTTTTTGTTGTACCAAACTTATGCAAATTGAATGTTTTATCATTTTTCCTAGATTAGATGAGTAATGAAAAAATGTGAGTAGGGTAGATTGATTAAAGCCAAGATGAGTTAGGCATTAATTTGCATTACTAAAACGAGTGTTGTTATTTCTCATGTAACTGAACCTTTTTCTTTACATTCGAACATTGAAAGACTACTATTTGGAGGGAGGTTAGGTTTTCGGAGCACTTCTACTTCTTAAGCATCTAGAATATATTTTCTTGTTTCAGTAGCTAAATTATTCAGTTTCGAAGGAATATATCATGGTTAATTTATTTTTCTGTAAATCACCAGCACACAATTCCAACTTCCAAGGAATCTTCTATTTATCTTTGTTCACATATTTTCATAATAACTAAGAATTGACAGTTTTTCCATGTTAATGGGATGTCAACAACTTTTGTTATAGTCATGTTCTCATTAGATATTACTATTAAATTTTGGGTCTAAAAGCTGAGATGAAAATTTTCTTTACTCTGGAGGTTCTAAGATGCTTAATGTGTCATACATATATCTTCCTGTTTTGTTACACTGCTAGTCTTGTTCTCTTCGAGACTTATCCTTTGCACATTTCATGAGCAGGAGTCTGTTACACTGGATAGGTAGGATCTTTTTGTTTTGTCTCTAATTGCTGGTTTTAATGGGTTCATGATCGATTTTGTAGAATGAATATAAACGAGGCATTAGTGGGTGGAATTTTAACCTTGAGGATGTGAAGGCTCAGGCATCATTGGTATGGTAACTAGTTAGTTTACTCTGTTTGAACTAACCATTTTGGAACTCGTTCTTGTACTGAAATCTTTAGGTTTATTGATGAACCTGTGCATATGTTTTATTGCTGCTAGATCCCGGATGAGGACTCTGTATCTGAAAGAAATCATTTAGGGAGCTCAAATTCTTTTTATGGGCTTGATACACGTGAAAACAAACTACAGCATCAGGTGTCTTCTGTGAGCCAATTTTCAGAAAATACAGATATGGTGCGTCAATGCTTTGGTGGTATTTAATTGGATAGAGTTTTCAAATCCTTGTGTGTGTGCCTAACAATGTTATACTTCACAGGAAGATAACAATCTGATACAGAATCAACCTGCTCCTCTTTTATCAGCTGACTCTTCAGGGACTTATACCATGTATGTCATCTTACATCGGTAGTCTACACGATATCCTATGATATTACTCTAATTATTTTCCGTGATACATTTACTTGTAGTTAACTTATAAGGACTTAAGAAGATACAAGAGTGATGCTTGTGCCACATGTTCATTTCACATCTCTCCTATTCTGATCTATTTGTTGACATGCCTATACTCGTGTTCGTTCAGAGCTAAATGTGAAAAATCTGATGATGACGTAAGCATGGTTAGTTCAACGTATGAACACCCAACTTCTCAGAACTCATCTCCACGTAATGAGAATCACATTGGAGTTAGTATGGCTGGAAAACCTCAATTGGATATCCATGGAAGATATTCAGATGGCATGGCTAGGAGGGGAGGTTCATTAGGAAGCATCAATTTACCAGATGCTGTTTTTCCAGCTTGTAAGGGAGAGAGGTAAGATATTTGACATGCATGGTTTCTTGGACTTTTGGCTGAAGCTCCTGGTGTGATGTAGCTAGTAGATTCTCTCTTTTTAGACTAATTTTGTAGTTTACCAATCAGAGCATTGTTTTCTCAATTATGTTTTTATTTTCGAAGTTTACAGCTCCTGGAATTTTTGCAGTGGGATCATTCAGAAACTTAAATTCTTTCAAAAATTTTGCATCAATATCTATCATCTGTTTCCAATAAATTGATAAAATGAGTTTAAATAGCGAAACTTAAGTAAAAGAAAATTTAATTACTAATGGAGGCCTTGTTGGCGCTTTTTTACAAATGACTCTCTCTCTCTCTCGCTCTGTGTGTGTGTGTGTGTGTGTGCAACTTTCTCCTTCCTATTGTTGTATAGAATTTTGATTGCCATCTGTTTTATATCTTGCAATGTGTTCTTGAGCAGTTTTTTATTAGTACTTTTGGAATTTTCAGCGATAAGTTGAAAAATCAGTTTCTAAACACATCAAGTTGCAATGGAACTGTTCCCCCAACAAGTGATGACGAAACATGTGAAATCATTTCTAGAACTTCTAAAACATCAGGCAAGTGACCAATAATTTCTTGATTGGCTTCATGTTAACTACTCTGTCCAATACTTAATGGGGTTGTTTTATTATTTTTGAAAATTGGAGTGGTAATGCTCTAATCTTCTCTTCTTTTGAATTGTTTTTCTAATTTGTTAAATTTTTTTGTACAGCAGCTAACAGTGATGAGCTAGACGAGAAAACAAAGTGTCCAGTTGTTCAGCAAAGAGGGCGTTTCAAAGTAACTTCTGAGAATGTAGATTTAGAACAGGTGATTTTTAGTATTCAATTCTGATGTGCTCTGCATATATCAATTGGATTGTGAACTCATCGTTTCATTTTAGGTGGTTCCATCTCCTATGTTGCAAAAGAGTCGCAGTATGCAGGTTAGTATTGATTCTGACTTAAATCTCACGGGATCATGAGTACAAATATGCAAAGTCAATGCTCACTTTTAAACTTGATTCTAGAACAACACATAGACGTTTAGATTTGGGTGGTGTGTGTTTGTAAATATTTCAACAATCAAACAGTACCACTACTGTTATGTTATTTAATAGTGACCTGCAATGCTCTTGATCGACAATAACTATGATTGCTCCTTATGTATGATGCATGCCCCTGAAACCATGTTTTGGATTTTATCAAGAAAAAACCATAAGTTTTCTTTTATTATACTCGTTTAAGTTTTTTTTAGTATATGCTGTCTTTTATCTGGTTTTATTGTAGGTCCAAGTTTTGGTGTAACAATGTTTTCACAGAAGCCTTTAGTTTCCCGGCAGCTAAAACCCTTGTAATGATTCCTTGTGATTTTTATTTGTTTATTCATTTTTTTCCTTGGAATACAGATAAGGTCCTTTGATTCAAGGATATTGAATCACGACCTTGAAGTTTTAATTCTGTTCCTTTACCATTTGAATAAAAAGTGTTGGTCAATCATTGTTTCATTGTTAAACCCTAATAGTTAGATGTGGTTCCCATTTGTGATAGACAAAATATATAGTTTTGCTTCAAAGTAGTAAGTTCTTAGGAGAATGCCATGGGTGATGTAGGTGATTATCCAACATCCAGCTGTTTCTCTACCATCACCATCTGATGCTACACCACCAAATCCTCTTGGCCATTCATTTTTTCCGATGTTGCAATCTGTTTTGCAGGCAAATATTGTGCAAAGGGTATGTCTTCCCTATTTATATCCAAACAATTTACAATCTAATTATTTTTGATTTTTTTATTTGGAATTTTTTCCAACAGGAAAAGATTCTAAATTTAATGAAGCAAGTCTCTGCTGGTGACTCTATAGGTGAAAGCTATCAATGTCTCTTCAATTTTCATTTATTTTATTAAGATATGTTGGTCTTACTTGGTGTGTTTAGGCAATGGTGCAGTCGATGGAGGATATGCGCCGTTGAATTTTGCTATGATGGAGAAATCATTGGTAGATATCTAGACAAATTATCATGAAACTATAAGATTATTCATATGTTCAGTTGGCCATATATCAAACAATATCTCCTGTCCTCTGTGTTGTTTAAAGCAAATGAAATTTCTAAAAACTTTCAAAAGTGTTTTGGAGCTTAAAGCAAATGAAATTCTTATTAAATCAAATAAAATTCTAAAGAAAACTATTTGATCTTTCAATCTAGTGCAAAAGCTTCAGAAACAACTAGTTAAATAAATTTACTAAAAATATACTTGAGTGCATGTGTAGTATTTTGCCTAATGGTTATAAGACTTGACTGGACAAATCCATTGTCATTTTATAGTTTTAGTATTTATGATAAGACTAGACTTGATGTATCCATAGCCTTTCTAAAATTTCATGAGCACTTTAATTTGCTTTATTTAGTCTTTGGTTCAAAGGAAAATTTTATTTTATATTCATCTATTGCCATCTTTCATTAGAAACTCACATGCTATCTCCCTGATTTTGCTTTTTCTACTTGGTTTAGTCTGTGAAGATAAACAAGTGTGTTTGAATTTGGTTGCAGTTGGAGTCGGCTCATGATAGAGAGAAGGAATTACTTCATGAGATAACTGATTTGCAGTGGAGGTATGCCTTACTGTATGTAGACAGACAACACGCGTGTACTGTTATGAATAGGTTCTGACCTCTGCTCTCTCTCTCTCTGTAGGCTGATATGTGCTCAGGAGGAGCTGCAAAAACACAAAACAGAAAATGCTCAGGTTAGTTTTTAATTCGTGGATGCATAGTTTTTACATTTTATGTTACTTGTTACGTGATACTCATCTGTAAAATTTCGCTTCCAGGTATGATTCTATTTGTTAGGCAAATACAGAACAAAATCGTTGACCTCCAAACTGATGAAGACGAGAAATAGGATAGGAAGAATCGTAGATTTCAATGGCAAAATAATTTTTTTTTTGTTGAAAGTTTCAGTTATATTTTGTTGTGATTTGTCCTAATTTCAAGTAATTTGTGCATATAAAAATAAATTATTCTTGTACATGGTCACATTAGCAGTTTTTTTGACATGTAATATCTTATTTTTAGATTTATATATTTAATATATGTTTGATAAGACATTGTTGACTTAAGATATTTAACCAATCGTAGACTATAATACTATATAGAAAGTAAGGGAATTTCAATCAGTTATACCCTATACGCATATTAGTCATAATCCGTGCTTGAAGGCACAATAAAATATAAAATTCGAACGTTCAAAAAATCGATCTCATTATATTAATATTTTTTAAAATATATTAACTGCAAATTAATCAAATATTAAATGATTAAATATATGATAGAAATGAGTGATGTGATATTTTTAAGGAAGAAATATATAAATGATTAAACATATGATAGAAATAAGTGATACGATTTGATTTTTGAGTATGACAAAAGGATGATAGGTGAGATAAGTAATTGATGATGATTTTGAGAGAGAAAATATGACTGAGACAAAATTCAAACACACTCTTATTTTATTATATAAATTTACCATCAAACGTCACACTGTAGATGTTCTCTCGACGCGGTCAAATCATATTAAGGAATAGTATTTACTCGATTCATCTGTGTTCTTAGAAATCGATGGGATGGTTAATCTCATTGTTGGGATATGTATCACTATGAATTCATAATTTCATTGTTGACGACACCCGACGGTGGTGGCGCTGGTAGTGGTGTTGCCCGCCGCTGTGATCGTGATTTGCACGTCAATCCGTGTCTTCCAGCATTTTCGCACATTCAATTTACGTTTATGCTGAGCCATTATAATGTTTACAATTAAAGATAATTTCTCGGGGTACGGCGATGGCTCTGGAGAAGTTTTGAAACCGGTGTCTGAAACCGTAACTGTTGCCGCCGATGTAACGGTGAATGCTGTCTCCGGTAAGGACTCACAAGCTGGTCAAGACAATGGATCCAAATCGGCTTCAGGACCAGACTCAGGCTACGCATCCGGGTCTGGTTATGAGCCTGGTCATGGGCTGGCCTGAGTTGGTGAGTCCAGATTTAGCCCATCTTATTGGTCTTAAACAGGAGATATGTCAGGCCCAAAAGCTTAAGAAAGAATAATAAGAATTAGTGTGTGTATTATGTCAAGAATAAATAACCGGTTTGCATAAATCTGGGGAAAGCTTCGTTCTATATGAATGTTGCTTTTTGAATTTTTGTCATATATTTGTGTTGTATAATTTATCGCGTGAAAAAATGATAAATATCCTTCATTTATAAGGTTGCTTCGATTCATTTATAAAATATATGAATGCTACTTTTTCTTGGTAAATTTGAATCAATAATTTTGATTTAGTGACATTCATGGTAATGTCACTGTCATGCCCCAAATTTCACAAAAGTGTGATTAAAAAAAATTATTTTGTTTATTCCAAAAATACATGCCGGTTTGTTGTAAAAATATCTAGAAAATATTCCTTTAGTTTAAATAAATCATTTTTTTTTAGAAAAGTTTGACAGAATTTTCTTTGAAAATCGGTCTTTTAGGTAATTAGCGAGAGTTACCTGTGAGAGCATTAAACATAATAATTATACATAACTACTCATTCGCATCATATCAATCATATACATCTCTTCTTATGATATCCACAAATAAGTCATTATCGTTCAATATCGGGGTGGCAAATGGAGGCCCATTAAGTCCTCCCAAACCTGGGTTACAATCTAATTATCCAAAATTCTTCATCATGAACATAATATACAGAATATCTAAAATCTTTATAAGTAAACCATTTAAAATATCTCAATATATACACATTACCTCAAATTAACCAAGATATAAATCACTTACAAATCCTCAATAATATGCATTATCGTACATTATTTTCTACATACTCTAACTAAATATATAAAAATTATAACAACAATCTTCTATTTTGATACTTTTATTATACAGCCCACCAACATATACTTATAACTGAAAATGTTAAATGATAAGGGTGAGCAACCACACACTCAGTAGAATAATCATTTTCTCAAGCATTTACAAAATTTTAAATACCACCATTGCACAAACCATACGAATAAGTAATGAAAATTTTCTATAATTTAGTACATGAACAAGATAATAAGTAGAGTATTTATAAAAATCTCCCGACACATTACCATTAGAAATATACAATGTATAAATTAAATGTTTGTACATTTTAAGCCAAACCATCATAGCATATAATCAATCACATCGGTTCACGCATGAACCATCCCCGGAGAATTTTTTGGGTCTTGCACCCTAGGGTCTCATTGCTCTTCTTACTTTTCAAGGGAAACGTATAAGACACAATTTGTGACGTCATATAGGCCATCACCGAAAACCACTACCATAATCAATTCTTCTTAGGACTTGTAACCACTTTGGCAACCCACTCAATAGGGCCCAACCGTCTACTAACCGTTTGTCTGTCTGTATCGAGCATACATTTTTTAAAAATTATTATTTTCTATATCCATAAATCCTTTTGAAAACACATTTCATAACCTTGACATTTTATCTAACACGTGGTAGGTTCAAATCTCAAAAATTGCATTTTCAAAGCAACATAATCATTTCTAAGAGAATAAGTCATATATATTATGTAAAAAATCATAAATACTACAAAACTCTCAAATCATAAGTTTAATCAAATACTCATAGCTAAAATCAAACTAGAGTTCCAAACCCACAACACTAAAATCATTTCTATTTCAAAGAGTAAAGTCATATTATATACAAGATCATAAACATACTTCAAAACCCCCAAATTATAGATTTAATCAAATACTCATAAATAACATCAAACTAGAGTTTCAAATCCACAACACTAAAATTAATTCCAATTCTAAGGGAATAAGTCATATATATTATGTACAAGATTATAGCATACTTCAAAACCATCAAATCATAGGTTAAATCAAATACCTATAACTAAAATCAAACTAGGGTTTCAAACCCATAATACTAAAATCATTTTTATGCATGTGAGTTCACAATTTATGGTATACTCAACACTAAATCAAGGTTTATAAAAAGTATTTTGTCATCAAACACATAATAAGTTTTAGCTAAAGAAAATACATAAAATGCACAATGTAAATGCAAGAGAGAGGAAAACTCTACTTAGAAATCAAGAATTCTAATCCAAATTCCTGGATTTTTAAGCAAAACTCAAATTTTAGAGACTTTCTTCTTCCCTTTTCTCTTTCCCTTTATCTTCTCCTAAGGTTCTAAGAGGTATTGAGTGAGAGTGGAATGAAAGAATAAAATAAAAGGGACTGAAATCTGGGTTTTAAACCTAGCAGTCCCGAAATTTACTGTTCAGGGGCTGAAATTTAGTTTTTTTTTCAAAATTACGATTTTACTACTAAACATTCCAATTTGATCCATATAACTACCCTAAGATTTTTCAACGTTTCGGATTCATTTTTAATGTTATTTTAACATAAAAATATTTAGTTTTATAATTTATCTTAAAACTAAAGTTAATTTATATCTGAAATACTAAAATTACTATTTTATCCCTCCAAACCGTTATATGTCTTAAACGGCTATTCTAAGTTTTTTTGGACTTCTCGAATTGAATGATAATATTATTTTAACCTAAAAATATTAATATATTTACTTAGTTACCCTTGTCAACCTTAAACACCCCCAAAAATTAAATTTAATCCAAAAGACAATACGTTCAAGCCTCAAAATTACGCGACTATTCCTTTAACAACGATTCAAAGTTTCTTTTATCATTTTAATCATTTTAAAAATACTAAAAAATTAATATTATTTATATTTACATAACACACGGAATCTCTCAGTCACCGCTAAAAGATTTGAGACCAATATCATTGAATTGTAATATTAGCTTATGAGGATCATCCGTGAGTGACTAAGCTTTTCAGTGCTATGACAGCTGGCTTCAGCTTGAGGGGGACTGTTAAGAAAAGTGTATTTTTGCCTTTTTTTTTTTTTTTTTTATCACTAGGGACATGAAAAAGATATATGCCTCAGTCATTCTTGATTAGAAATAGAAAATCTTGGCATGCTAAGAATTGCCCTTACAAACTTAGCTAGGTCTTGTCCCTAAATTCCAATGTAATTGTTAAAGTATTTAACTCAAAATCAATAATTGAGTTAAGCATGATAATCAACTTTCTTTTTTCTTGTTGAATTCTCATGAAATATTGTGCTTACTATCATTTCCCCCCGCTTAAGATTGATCATCAAGAACTTAGAGAGAGAGAGAGAGATGAGTGTTTCTTTATTAACGTGTTAACGGTGTTTAATGAGGGCAAACTTTTGTCAATGTTTATTATACTAATTGCGCTGTTTAATAATAACTGTAAAATATAGTAACGGTCATCAAGTATGATTCTTTGTGTAATTTTGAGCTTAATTCTTTTTAATTAAACCACTTTCATCCCTCAATTTTTAAATTTAGAGCATTTTGGTTCAATAAAAAACAATGAACTTGAATTAACTGAAGCCATTATATGCATCGGAGAGAGAGAGAGAGAGAGAGAGAGAGAGAACTATTCATCCTGTGATGTGAAACAAATCTTCTTGTTTTGTCAACATTACAAATGTATTGCTCATGGAAAACTTTCTACTTGCTTTACCATTGGTTTATTAACTAGGTTATTCTTTAAATGATCAAATCGAACATAAATTACTTAATATACGACTGGTGAAACTTGATCTCATATTCTACAATTCATTCATCTAGACAAACCAATTTCGTTGTTTAATATTAAAAATACAGTAAGCTTCTGCCTTCGGAATAAATTGACTCCATAGATATAGCATAAAACCTTGGCTTATTGGCAGCAAATGATATGTTTAGTGATATCAACCTAATTCTCAAAACTTCAACTGACTAGTGAATAATTGTTAAGGTATATTTAGCTCAAGTATTATTGTGACCTGGGATGGAACTAGTTTAACACCATTGGAACTTAATACTAGCTTTGATAAGTTAATTAGAGTCGTTTGTCTAATCCGAATCAAACAACACTAGTTCTGCCTCATTTCGATTGCTTTTACTATGACTTTACCGCCTTTAGATTTTTCGCATCTAATAATCTGTTGCAACTTATTCTACGTTACTATCAATCTTCTAACATAAATAGTGAAGTGGATATATGGGAATCCAATCTATCGAATCACTCATGTTATGATCTTTTACATCTTAAGTCTTTCCATTTCGTCATCTGACTTGTGTTCATTTTGAAGCATTAAGATCAAATGACTATGAAATTATGTCGAGACTTCTACATATTATGGGTAACATAGGAGACATTTCTATTTTCCCGTGGGAATCACATTCTAAACCTCTAAGGCATGTCCAAATTTGAAACCATCTATTTTAAGAAACTGTTGTGCAAAGCCATTGCAACAATGGCACTTGGCTCTACAAATTCTCAGCTTTTCCACCACACCCTCTTCTCCTTTCTAACCAAACAAACTTCCTCCTCATCCTCCTACATATTCTCTTCTCAATTTAAGTCCATTCAATTGAATATAAAGCCTCCACACTTCACCTCCATCTCTACACATTTACAATCACCATTGACACAAACCTCAAAAAATGAATTACACACACACTCTTTCTCTCCTCTTTTCTTTCTTTCTTGTGTTGAACATTTTCAACTTTGCCAATGCCTTTAACATCACTAAACTCCTTGAACAATACTCAGATTTCAGTACCTTCAACAACTATCTCACTCAAACCCAACTAGCCGGAGAGATCAATTCCCGGCAAACCATCACTGTCCTTGTGGTTGACAATGACAATATATCACCCATATCAGGAAAACCTGTTGACTTGCTCAAGCAGATTATGAGCGTTCATGTAATACTGGATTACTATGACGTAAAAAAACTTCAATCTCTACCAAACAAAACCAGCATTCTCACCACTCTCTTCCAGAGCAGTGGCACGGCCTCCGGTGAACTAGGCTTCTTGAACGTGACAGATTTGAGCACCGGCAGCGTCGCGATCGGATCGGCTGATAAAGGTGCCACTCTAGGGGCCACTTTGGTCAAGTCCATTGCTGCGCAACCCTATAATGTATCAGTATTGCAAATTAGTACTATAATTATTCCTTTGGGCATTGAAAATTCAAAATCAAACTCTTCCTCAAATTCAACTTCTCCTCCTTCCCCGGTTACAGCAGCTAGTCCGGGGAAATCAGAGACACCCACTCCGGCGAAGTCACCGGCCACAGCGCCACCTAAGTCTAGCAAGGCACCTGCACCATCTGATGCAGCTTCGGATGCACCATCCAATGCAGAAGCTCCGACAAAGGCTGACACGCCTTCAGCTGCGCCGGGTTCGCCACCAGTACCTGATGCTCCAACTGCTGGTACTCCAGCAGCAGATGCTCCGGCTGCAGATAATTCTTCTCCCAGTGTAGGGACAGCTATTGGTCTAGGTCTTGGTGGGGTTGTGATGATAATATTATCAACTTTGTGTCTAACAGTGATGAATTGAAAGAAGAACTAACTAGAGAGGAAGTTTATTGGATCATTGTGTTTTAAAGTTTTGTTTTTCGGGTCTAAGTTTTTACGTGAGTTTTTTTTTGGGTTTTGAATCATGAACAATTAAGTGAGTTGTATGAAATGATTCTTGATTATGAATGACAATTTGTCATTGCCCTCTTTGAATCAGTTGCCAATCAATCATGTCGGGTAAGATGGGTTTGTGTCGAGTCCTTTACCTGATAATGTATTTCTTTGCGGTTTACTTGAATTTTGCTTGCAATCAACAATTCTTTTAGAGGCACCCTCCTAAAAAGCCTGAGAAACTGCACTAGCTTGAAGAGAGTTAGGCTTGAAAGAAACCAAATCACTGGAAACATTCACAAGATTTGGGCATATACCCAAACTTAGATTACATTGATTTGAGTTATAACAAATTGTATGGCCAAATTGTCTCCAAAATTGGGACTCCATCATAATTTGACTAGCCTGAAGAATTTCCAACAACAATCTTTCTGGAAAAGTACCACCCGAGCTTGGAGAGGCCACTCAGCTACGTGTGCTTGATCTTTATTTTCTTCTAATCATTTGCTAGGGAAGGTTCCGAAAAATTTGGGGAAGTTGAGTTCATTGTTCCATCTGATTGTGAATGATAATAAAATAGCTGCCAACATTCCTCCAGAACTAAGCATGTTGTCTGATCTAGTACATCTTCACTTGGCAGAAAATAATCTAAGTGGCATGATACCACGGCAGCTCTGAAAAGTGCAAATGTTAGAAGCATTGGATCTCTCCCATAATGAGCTCTCTAGTTCCATCCCATTCACATTCGATCAAAGTTTTAGTTTGACATCCATTGACATATAGTACAATCACTTGGAGGGTCTCCTCCCCTCCAATCATAGCCTTTCAAAGGGCAGCATCAGAAGCATTTAGTCACAAAAAGGGTTTATGTGGCAACGCCACTGGTTTAATTCCTTGCTTCCCTATAAAGACCAATGGGCTAATGATAGAAGATGCAAAAGAATTGTGGTTTTAATCATCATCCCTCTTGTTTTGGGCACTTTTTTTCTTGTATTGACAGTTATTGGCATTTTTTCGAGTTTTTGGCCAAAAAAAAGGAGTGCAGATGAGGGGTCAACGAGATCAAACGAGAACATGTTTGCGATATGGAGCTTTGATGGGAAGATGATGTATGAAAACATCAATGAAGCGACAGGGGACTTCAGCTCTGAACATTTCATTAAGGAGGGAGGATATGGAACTATCTGCAGAGCCAGAGTTGTCTAGTGGGCAGGTTGTTGCTATAAAGGAACTTCATCATGCGCCACATGATGGTGTGATGGGAAATCATTTAAAAGTTTTTACAAACGAAATTCGACATAGAAATACCACGAAGTGCTGAATTCTGAATATGAGGGTCGCTTATCTGATTTTGGGGCCTCAATATTGCTAAAAGACCCGACTCTTCTAATTGGACTTCATTTGCTGGTGACCTGGGAGACAAGCAAAAATGATCTTAGACTCTTGTTCATTTTTCCTGTGATTAGTCCCTCATGCTTGGTTAAATTTTGTCCATCTTAGTGTCTGAAACATTCGACTGGCTTGACCTTGTGTAGTATTGTTCCTCCTTTTTTTATTTATCGGTAGTTGTCTTAACCACAAATTTCAGATGCACACAATCAGCCACCAACCACATCCATCTCTTAAATTTATGCAGCCAGGGACATAAATTCAGAAGGCGTGGACATCTCATCTTCAACCACGAAACCAACCAGTGCATGTTCTTTTCTCTCTCCCCCTCCTCCTTCATATTTTATGCTGAAGTTCTCTGCGCCATCAGCATTGAAACTAGTTTGCAGACCAATAACAGGTGACAGATATGTGTGTTGTGACTGTGCAGCTTAATAACATGATATGTTTTTCTTTGTTCTATTTTTTTTTCTTTTTACAGAACTTGCTTATACAATGGAAGTGAACGACAAATGCGATGTTTATAACTTTGGATGCTATCCTGGTGATATCATGTCATCTTTCTCGGGATTGGGATTGGGATTGGAATTGGAATTGGCAACTTTGAACTCAATACTTTCAACATGATCACATTAACCCAACTGCTTGATGTTGAATGTCAGCAGAATTTCTCAACTTTTGTATCCTTCTTCTGAATTGCATTTTTGTTTTTCAGTTTTTCCAATTCCTCTTCTTCTTTTTTTCTCTCTGTTTTTGAAATTTCTTTGTTTGCTCTGTTCCACTTTGTTGTGTTTAAATGACACCAAGATTGCTTTGATGTATCATCGTTGTGTTTAAAAGGTCATATGAGCCTGTTTTAGTGCGGATTTGACTTTGTTCTCTGAGTTGAACTTTCACCGTAAAATTATACTCTTTTTTCGTCTCTTTTTTTTTAGTAAGATTTAAATATCTTCCTTTGTTAATCTTTAATCCCCATTTTCGTCATGCTATAAATATAGGTAGGCAAATTACTCAATTTCTTTACTCTATTTATATATGAATGCGTATGAATCATACGAGATACATGTATAATATAATCTTATATGTGATATGGAGTGATTTTGACATTCAAATATAGAGTTCTAGTTCAAGTTTGTGATTGGCTGTGAAGTTAAATTGAAATCTAGTTTGAGCCCAAAAACTCACCTGCACTGAAACCAGAGCTTAGCCTACATAAGATCTAATCTAACTGCTGGCCACGAGACTAGGTTGATTCACTTTGAGAAAAAAAAGTAAAATGAAGTTTAGTCCCTATTAATAGGAGTTATGGGATGCTAATCTGGGTGGAGTTCAATCCCGTAACCTTAAGTTTATTGAACCGAATATTTACAATTTCACTGGTGACCCCAATAGGTTGACTCGATTGACAATTCAACATATATCTAGTTTTACAAACTTTGGCTTTATATCAATGGACCTTTAGTCCAATGGTACTCTTCGCCTTATGGAAGTTTTGCTTTTTTGAGGTCAAAAGTTCAAGTACCCTAAGCGAACCTCAGTTATTTGGACGTACTGTATCCAAATTTTTAGTATGAGTTCGAATCCTCACCGAAACGCAAATCTTAATTTAACTGGTGTAAGGGTTGAGGGACTTATTCATGCACTTGGGGTTTATCCGGGGTTTTACTCGAACTCACGAATCTGAATGACATAAGTACACCTCTATTTGCTAAGGAGAGACCAGAAATTTCCCTAGTACTGAAAAAAAAAAAAAATTTGGCTTCATTTGATGTATCAATTTGAATGTATAACTTCACTTTAACCCATCAATTTAGTTGTAAAAGTAACCTGAAAACCATGTTTGGGATTGCATGTGTGGATGATCTTAATTATAAGTTTGTAGTAATTAGAAACAGTAGACTTAAACCCCATCATAATAAAAACATGAAAATTTTATATTTTGATGTATGGTCAAAAATCTAAACCACTCGTAAAGAGATTGGGAATGGAAGTCAATAAGCAAACATGGGAAGAATAAATAACTCTTGGACCTTATTTGGTTTGTATCTCATAAATTATTTTTTTTGTATTTGAAAATAGTTTCTTTTTTTTTTTTTTATCAAAGAAAATAGTTTCTGAAAGAAAAGATATTTCGTCAATTTTTTCGTTTTTGTTTTCGAAAACTAATAACAAAAAGTTAATAGATTTTAGAAAATAAGTTTGGACTGTTTTGTATATTTTTGGACAAAATTTGGACACCACCACCACAGTTCTATCACCACATCCACCATGCCACCACCATGTCCACCACCACCACATTTTTTATTTTCATTATTTTTTGAATTATTATCTAAATAAATTTTATTATTTTTTATTTCATAGAATTATATAACTAAACAAGTTCTACAATATAAAAAATATCAAAAAAAAAAATTAATTTTTTTTTAAAAAATAATTTTAAATATTATTTTTTTGAGACGTAAATCAAACAAGAACTTAATTTCTTAACTCAAAAGACTTTGTGTATCCTAAGTAACTCATTAGTCATATAGTGTTTTAATATAGATGTTGTTATTATCTATTTCAAAGAAAAAGAAAGGAAAAATACAACAAAAACATTGAACAACTTTTCCATTGGGTGTAAAGTATTAGAGCTTTTTTGCAATGTTGGCAATTTTGGAGGCACATTTAACAAAAAATATTTATTTTAGTAAATTGTACAAGGCTCACTTATTTTTATCCTGAATAAAGTTATTTTCTATAATTTCTCTATAATGAATTAATTATCAAAAAAACACTAATTTTTGAAATATTGAATATAATAATAATATAATTTACAAAGACAACCCTTTTCTCAATCGCGTGACTTACACTGCTTCATCATTCACACACAAATAAACTGCGATTGAACATCATGCACCACACACGCGCATCAATAATTAATTACATTGAAGGTCCTAAAGTATATGAATTATTTTATTTTAGTCTTTAATATTTTAATTTCATCATTTTAGTCTATAAAATATTGAATATATTTTTATGTGATCCCTTAAATAGATATCGTTCAAATTACTAACAATTTTTTATTACGAACTTGTCACGTGATAGCTAAATATAAACAAAATTTTTTTGAATAACTCAACAAAATTTATATTCAAATTTTAGTCAAAGAACTATTCAAATTACATAGTTTTGATCGTAAAATATCCAAATTTTGATTAAGAGTTATTCATATCACACATTTTTAGTTAAGAGGTATCTAAATTTTGGTCAAAAACTAATCAAATTATTTTTGTCCATATTTAAGTATCACGTGATAAATTTATAATAAAAAATTGTTAAAAACTTGAATGTTGTCTATTTGAGAAACCATATAAAAATATATTCAATATTTCATGGACTAAAATAATATAATTAAAATATTAAAGAGTAAAATAAAATAAATTCTATAATTTGGGACGTCTAATATAATTAACTTGTAAATACGAAAAAAAAAAGTGAAAATAAAATCAAAAAAGTGCTAAAAACATAAAACATTACCCTCTCTCTCTATCTCTGTCTATACAGACACGGAAACGAAAAAAGAGTTCGAAAGAGAGAGGAAGTATAGAGCGAGGGAGAGAGCATCGAAACAGCGATCAGAGACAAGGGGGTGCTTAATCTGATTCAAACGAAACACAGAGAGAGATTTGTAGAGAAAGAATCAAGGGGGGGAGTCGAATGCGAAGCAATTGCTGGAGAGAGAAAGCGAATGAAACAACGAGAATGGAAGAAGAAGCCACGTGGGTTTCAACGAATTAGTCTCTCGTTGAAGAACGAACTTTTCTGAATCTGAATTTGGGGTCACTTTCAAAAGGTCCAATAAGGTGAGCCCATCAATTTTTTTGGTCTTTATACACTTCAATTTTCTCTCTCTGCCAGCTTAAATCTCTGGTATTCAATTTCAGTTGCCCCTAAAGATTTGAACTTGATGCTAAAATGTAAAACTTGAACCAATGGTATTTGGAGTTTGCTTGGTTTTTGGCAGAATTATTGTAAGTTCAAGCTCGTTGAATTGGAATAAATTGGGGTTTACTTGGAGTTACAGCGAGGTATATTTTGTGGGTTTTTAAGTTTGTGGTGTAAAAGAGGAGGGTTGATGTCTTTCAGTCTGGTGGGATGGGATTTGAAAATTTGGGCGATTGGGTTTTTGGAGGGAGAGTTAGTTGGGAATTGGATCTCTGGTTTGGAACACAACCACTCCCACTTATGTAATCTTAGGTTTTGAGTTTTGAAGATGTGTTTTGGTTCAGCATTGTTCTGGTTGTTGTTTGAGGGATTAAATTTTTTTTGGAAGAAGGGGTTTTGGAAACAGAGCAAAACCCTAAGTTAGTGGTGAAATTGGGATCCTAAGATCTGCATTTGCTGGGTGGGTGCTGTGGAGATTAATAGACTTGGTTTTTTTGTATGGATTTTATGTACTAAGAAATGCAACCGCCACATCAGTATTCGCGGATCAGTCTTGCTGAATTGAAAGCCCAGATAGTGAAGAAACTTGGGCCAGAGGTATCCCAGCAGTATTTTTATTACTTGAATAAATTATTGAGTTTGAAGCTAACTAAGGTTGAGTTCAATAAGCTTTGTCTTAGAATTGTTGGGAGAGAGAACATTTCACTGCATAATCAGTTCATTCGTTCAATCCTAAAAAATGCTTGTAGTTCAAAATTCCCTCCACCGTTGATACAAGATGAGGAAGTGTTTAAGCCTACACAAGTGGTTGGAAACAAAGAGCCTTCAAGTGATGGGTACAAGCAAAATGGGTCCCATCCTGGTATAAGTCATGCTTCAAATCCACCAGCCTTTTCAAATGGGGACATTTTACCTCTATCACCCCGAAAGACCAGGTCAGGAATTCGTGATCGTAGGTATGTTGATCGTCGTAGTTCACTGGGACCAAATGGCAAGACAAGTTTTGCGTCCCAACAATTATCAACCACACATTCCAGTGATTTTGATGTTATTTTGGAGAATGGTTATTCGACTCCACCAGATCTTCAAAGGCAGGCACAGCATCATCAGGGACTCGCGCTGCAAGCACAGAAGGAAGGGGTTGTGTCAGGTTACCAGCCTGCTACATTGTCAGTAATAAAGCGATCACCAGATGATCCAGTTCATGTAAATAGCAAAGACCAGACTGAAGTGTTAGTTAGAGAAGAGGGGAAAGAATTATCTGCTAGGAGTCTTCTCTGCGCTCCACTAGGGATCCCATTGTGTCCGTTTAGTGTAGGTGGGGCCCGCAGGGCATTGCCTTTGGCAAGTAGTAGTAAATGTGTTAGCTCAGTAAACAGTGGTGGTTTGTTGGACACAGTGACTCTAAGGGAACGTATGGAACAGATTGCTGCTACACAAGGCCTTGAAGGGGTGCCAATGGACTGTGCCAATTTGTTGAACAATGGGTTGGATGCTTTCTTGAAGGGTTTAATTAGGTCCTGCCTTGAACTTAAAGGGGCAAGCTCAGGGCATGAGCCTATGAAGAACAGTACTCACAAGCATCGGAATCATTTCAAGCTTGTTAATGGTGTTAGACCGAGTCATCATTACCAGATGCAGAACATCAATAGACCTTTGCAAGAGATGCAAGAACACAGACCTCACTGTCCAATCTCTTTGGTAGATTTTAGGGTTGCAATGGAGCTGAACCCACAGCAGCTTGGCGAAGACTGGCCGTTACTGCTGGAGCAAATATGTATGCGAGCAATGGAGGAATGAAAATGGGACCAAACTAGGTTGTCTTTCAGCTGGGCTTGGGTTGATCTCTATGGGATCAAAGGGGATGCCGTCTTTTAGGCCCTTGGACAGTCTCGATAAAGTGACTCTCCTTAATGGTCTTTTGAACCAGTCTACAGCCCTTGAAGTGAAGCAGATTCCCTTACTGGATGATGGGGACTAGAGCAGGATATCTTCGTATTCTTCTGCTGCGGAGCTCGTCCTCAGTCAAAGAAATCACATTCATCCAACATTAATCTCACAGTCATGAAGGCAAGAATGCCCCTATTGGTTGCTCTGTTGTATGATTAGTATATGTCTCACTGCACATTTTACTCTTTTTTCTGTGAGTTACAATTAATGAGGAATTTAGACAGTTTTGCAGAAATAATTTGTGTAGTTCAGTACTTAGTATGAGGTGAATATGCATGATGCAAGAGTTCTTGTGTATGTACTTTTAACACGAAGAGTTCATTGGAATCTCAATATTAATGACACGTTTCACCAGTTGATTAAGTCTGGTTATGTAACTGTACTTCTTTCAAAGTAATGATTATTTCTCTACTGGTTACGTAAGCGTTTAGGTGGCTGGCAGAATATTTCCTCTCATCCTTGCTGCATGGTAATTGGAAACCGAGGAATTATACCTGTTTTAGGTGTAAATAATATAAGCCTTTTTTTTCTTTTTTTGTAAAATGCCAACTACAACTTAATTGTGTAACAAAATAGAAAAAAAATTCCTTTTGGTAAATAATGAAATAATATGGAAGGGAGGAGTCCATGTTTGATAGAGTCTGGAACATTTGGAGTCCTAGCCATATAAATGGATTGGGCTTTAAGAGTCCTCCATACAGAAAGGTCAACCTTCTAACTTTCACATCCTGCCAAAAATAACTTGGTAGTCTCCAGGTAAGAATATTAATAGCACCAGGGTGTCAAAGTTATCTCTGTGGGCCCAAGTGGGTCCACAGAGACTGCCATTTTGACGTGAAGGTTGTACATGTGCCCTTCTTGCCACCTTTTCCCTACCCCCCTCCCTCATAAACTTGCAATATTGAGTATTTCTAGCGATGAAAGATAGTGGATAATTAATAGTTTTACTAGTCACCCCGCATATCAACTTACTGCATTTAACCTGATTTATAACTAGAGTGGAGATATGCAAGCTCCAAGTTCTCAAGTTTGCAGTTAGTTGGCTTGTAATTGTTGCTATGTGATACTGCTTCCTTCTATTCTTTCCCTTTTTTCTTTTCTTTACTTCAAACAAACTGATAACATCACACAGAAGATCTACATCTCATTTTTTTCGGTCTTGGATTCATCAACTGTGCAAATACAGGCCACTCATTCTTGAGCGGCGTGGTGAGTATCTGTTTGCAGAAAATAAACATTAATGAACCAACCATGGCAAAAATATTATCACCATGGTTGGTTCCTAAATTTTATTTGGTAATTAATCTTACTCCTATGATGTCTTAGAGAGATTATTTTGTCGAAGTGATAATATTTTTATATAGTCTCAGGCTCTCGGTGTGATGTTTCTGTTGTTAATGCATCAAATATTGATAATGGTGTCTGTAAGATGCATGTCTTAGTTGTGTCATCTGGACATTAAACCTGTACATAAATTATTCGATGTGGAACACCGGGGTTGGAGAATTTTAGCACTCAAAAATCTTTCAAAAAAAACACCAGTGGAAAATGATTGTTTTACAACACAATTGAGGGATGAAAAAGAACAAAAAGATAGAAAAGTTTATTTTCGATAGGATTACTTCGTTTGCCTGTTAATCATTGTGCAATCATGCCCTCTTACGCTTGAAGAGAAGGGAGCTTTTCTATGGGGCAGAAAGAAAAGGTGTGCTACTCTTGTGAATGTAAAAATTCATAAGCTTTATTATTGTCTTGGCTCCTAATATAATAAGAAAATGCAGGTTTCATACATGTGAACTGGACTCTCTATGATGTTCATTTTCTGTGGCAAAGCCATGCTTGGAGCTTTGGAGTGAAAACCAGGTGTATGTGAGTTAATTTCACTTCAAATCTTTTCCCTGCCTCATTCGTGGCTAGACTATTATTGCTACGGTGGTATTGTATCCATGTCTTTATTTAGGTTGAACTTTGTAAGATACTTGCATTACCATTATCAATGCATGTAAGTCGTGATTCTGCTCTATTTACAGTTTCATGGAATGAGTAGGAGCAGCTATAATTGTGGTACTAGCTGTTAGAACCTGTGAATGGCTGTCAGAAATTCCTTTGTCATCAAATTGGACATAAAATAGCATTTGTTAACTTTATGTATGTGATTATTCCTACTATTATATCAGCTGTGTTACTTCACTTCTTTTAATCAGCTAGTAGCTAAGGTTTGGGAGGTTTTTGGCGAGCATATCGTTGTTTTAGCAGAGTTTGAAACAATATGAACAAGATGTTTTATGTTTTGTACTATTTAAATATCCTACTGAACTTGATCTGGGGTGTTTTAAGTTTAGTGCTGTTGAAATATCTGCTAAATGTTTGTTTTGGAACACATTAGTGATTAAGTTTACGTTGAACGTTAATTTGAACATCATTTGTTTGGGTTTCTTTATCCAATGTAAATATTTATGGGGGAAACAGATGATTGCAACCTAGAACAATACAACTTGGGGGAATAGGTACTTGAAGTGGGTTCATGAAGCCCATTTATAGATCAACGAATGAAGAAGTGGGATTGTGTTTAGTGTTAACTCAATAATTGATATCCTGAATTTCGTCAACTCTTTGACAAACTATGTTAATGAAATGATTACAGCCAATATCTTTATTACGTTGGTTCAAGAATGATGTCCTATCCTCGTCCCTCTCCAGCCCCACCTAGGCACACCCACCCACTCACGCAAAACACACACACCCCCATCAACCTCCACTGCAATACACCCCCCAAACCCAGCCAGTGCCTGCACAGCCATCGCCTTCCTCCTTTCATCACTTATTTGTCTACAATATTCACCCTCATCATCATCTCTCCCTCTCTCCATAAACACACACACACACATCAAATACCCGCCCCATGCACCAACAGCCACTCCCAAACATCAAATTCCAACCGCCACTTTAGACATAACCACCCCTTGTGCTCCTAACACCCATCACCATCCCCTTGCACTGCCACCATCCATCACAACAAATTGCCCCCTGCTGTAAACACATCGTCCCTACCCCAGGAAAAAATACCCTGACCCACACTAATCTGGTTTCAGAAACCCTCACCATCACTAGTGGATGAAATCACCAATTGGCTGCATGAAATATCATCTCATTAGAAGTAGATTTCTCATCATCTCAATCTTCGGCACCAAACCCCTTATCTATGCTGCCAATCCTGCCACCATTTGCATCCCTCCAGTAGCTGTGAATCGAAGGAAGCCATTGATTATGGTGCCCATTTAAAAGGAGATGCTGGGGTAGTGTGGTGATTGATCTAATGTGGTCAGAGGATGCTTGAGAGAGAGAGAGAGAGAGAGAGAGAGAGAGGGAGGGAGAGAGATGTGGGGAGTTGACTATGGGTGCAGGGAGGTCGATGACTGTGATTAACATTCTGAGGAAAGTGGTGGCATTGGAAAGAAAGAGAGGGGGGATATATTTATGGGTCCTGGGTTTAGTTTTAGATTCAGGTATAAATTTCGTATGGGATGTTGGGATTTGAGTTTGGCCCGTTTGGGGTAGATTAGTTTATTTCTGTAAAGGTTAAAGTAGTCATTTACAACTTCCATCGAGTCCGTGAATTGACCGTCACTGAATTGAGTTATTTCCCATACTTGAGCAGGCCTTGTTATTTAGTGACAAACGTCAAGGGTTTGAATGTAATTTACCCAATTCAAATGTTCAAGAGCAAGATTCATCATCCCCTTGCCAGGAGGAGAGTAATATTGTGTCACACCCTATTGTTTTTGCAATGGGGATCTCCAAGATAGCATCCATTTTGGAAGAACTGATGATCAGTGAGAACTGATTGAGGTCAATTCTGATTTCTATTAGAGGACTTGGGTAGAGTAAGATCACTTTGGATCTTGTGTGCAGGCTATTGACTTCCCATCACTTTGGATCTTGTGTGCAGGCTATTTACGTCCCATGCTATGACTTAAAGTCGTCCTAATTCTTGTTATCCCAGACCTCGTTCTTAGAGCACTCTTCTTTTGAGTAAGCTAGTCGACGTGCATGCAGTGTTTGGTTTTTTTGAGTCTTTTATTGGTTGTTCCATTCACTCATGATCTGACGTGGTCGACCCAATCACTTACCCCCACCCCCCACCCAATGGAAAATGTATATAGCTGTTTCAGTGTCTGGAAGGGGATTTAATCCTGGATAGATTATGCCTTGCTGCGACATACATGCAGAATGATTTTGTCACTACCTGCATTCTTTTCAATAACAGTATCTGTATTCAATCTTTGACAATCTCAAAGCAACAAAGCCCACTTCTCTTGCTGTTTGGACTACTTTGAGTTTCCCTACTATGGTAATGAATTTGAGGGTTATTTTCAGATTGGCTCTGCTAGAATTCTGAACTCAAGGAATTATTCTGGGCAACAGCTCTAATTTGATATGCTTATTTTGCTGAAAGAATTGAATAAAATAAACAGGATGACCATGCGAGTCTGCACTAAATTGATCTCATAATAATGAGAAAATGACATATAGCCATAAATAATCTGAAGTTCATTAGCTCAATAAGGAGCATTCTGTTGATCAAATTCATTCCTCTTGGAGGTAAGCTTTCACCTAACCCTTTTTGCCAACTAAACTGCAGGCGCATTAATCAGCAGTAGATGAGTCCAAAAAAGAGATTGCGGCAGCTTTGTGGATGCTTCCACTTGCATGTCCAACACACTCTTTTTTTTTTGGCACTGGAACAGAGCCCGGATCACCAACATGCATCTTCACTCTTAGTGACACCATTACTCCTAGATTATTTATCATCCGTATGTTCACAAGGCTTGACAGAGTCGCACAAGTATGGAGAATGAGCAAAGATTTAGATCTTACTGGGATTTTCTGCTGTATGATTTGACCGTGGATCATGGCAAAACATGTTATATTTACAAATGACCAACTTCATCATTGTGAGAGTACTCTACTGGCAATAGAGGTAAGTTGATAAACTTGTTCCATATTAGACTGATATGGATTACACTAGCAACAGCTCTACACAATATCACTTGTTGGCTGCAGGATTGTGAATAACAGTGTCATCCATATCTTGTTGCAGGAATTTAGGAGACATTTTTATTCTGGTATAGAACCTGGGCCTGCATATCAAGCCCGATTTGTGGAGAAAGATGAGCCAGCAGAATGGTTGGACCATACAAAAGTCCTCCCAAATGGCCATTGCTTGCGCTTAGGGAGATGTGACATCGACTGTGATTCTGTTCTCCTAAGCATTTCCCACATCACCTGCACGTCCTCATATCCACAGGTTTGTATATCATCATGTAGCTTCAAAAGCCCAGCACCTGAACAAAACAAAACCCTTAAATGATCCTTCTAGGACTAATAGATGCAGAAGATTAGCATGAGTGGGAAACATCATAAGTTCATAAGAATGATTGGCACAAATACAATCTAGATGTTTATTACTCATTAGAACCACACTTTTGTGGCACATAACAGTCTTCATATGTAATCCTAACACCAAGAGTCATCTGCAAGAAAGCACAGCCATTTGTGTAGATCTTTTTGTTGCATAATCTTACATACACACACAAAAGTGTCACATAAAACATAGGGATGCCTGGCACCACAACAAAGTTATGGTTATCTATCTTTTGACCTAGTTATAGGGTGGTGACCAACTAGAGCTCGGATACCTCCTGTATGACTGCAATGCATATTGCTAGACAATTACATCCTATTTCCAGATTGATACACAAGACTTGGTAGTTTTTTATGCCTTGGACTTCATTTGCAGGCCAGTGAAATAGACAAGGGCATGCCCAACCCGAGCTACTTGGTCATGGCAAGAGCAAAGGAGAAGAATGAACATTAAAGAGTAAAAAAATACACCGCTTCACTTGACCAAGGGCCTCTTCGTCTTTCCAAGAGATTCAAGAAGATTGAAAATAAGAACATTAAAGAGAAAAAATACACAGATTCACTCGTCTGGGAGCCTGTTCCTCTTTCCCGAGAGATTCAAGTCTCGTTTATATCTTCACTCGCTTGGTTAAATTTAAAGACAGTCCACCCTCAGATCAATATTTGAATTGTCAGCAGCTAGAATTATCATCAACTTCATTTCTCTGACCAGGTTCTACTTTTTATTTGTGGTCAAGTTTATAATATTCTACAGTTTATGCAATAATTTCTATCTTACTTTCTCAATTCTCTCTCATATTTCCTGTCCTTGAGTGGAACTAGCAGCCTAGTGGATGTAGCCAACCATTAGTGGAATGCCTAATGATATGCTTGCTGTTTTAGAAGTACTAAAAAATTAATAAAATTTAGAACCCATCTTTAGAACCTTATATTAAAACTAATACAGTACATATCAAAATCATTTACAAATATAATAGAAATAGTCATTAGTGCTAGTAGGGCAGAATACACTTAATCTTCTTCTTCTTTCACTCATTTGAACTATTAAATTTTTCTTCCCTTTAAGTTGTGTAAAATATTAGTGGTGACAACAGAGCTTATCATCTTAGTGGTTTACAATGAACTAATCTTTTCATTGAGGGTGACACTGTACCTAACTACGCTTGATCCTTTAGTGGATTTAGCCATCACCAATGGAATCTTTTATTCAATATTTTATGCTGTCAAAAAAAAAAAAAACAAATATTCAAACCCTATGTTTGAAATAACTTTTGAGGGTTGAAAAAAAGTATGTTCTGATGTAAAATCAAAGAAATGAACCTGTTGTTGCCGCTAAAGGTCGTGCATGTACAGTACCCATAGACAAATAACATAATAGGAAGAAAGAGAAAGAAAAATGAAGAGTATTATAGATATTTTGTGGGTGGACAACAATCCCATAATCTTCCTTTATTAATAGTATATAAAATAGATAATAGTATAGTTTTTTTATAATTCCTTCCAATAGTTTAAGAAAGAATCATTTCCATCTAACTTTTTCTAGATTACAGATGTTTCTCTCACCTACAACAAGAATTATTAATAGATGATTCTACCAAATAAACCATAGCAGAACAATTTTTTTCAGAGCAATCTTTCTGTTGATTCTATATGTGTGTGTGTGTGTGTGTCCAGGAACATGCTTCAAATAAATTTTGAAGCAAAAAAAAAAAATTGAGAGAATAAAGCAATCCCCTTGGAATGAAAGAATCATTCCTTGAGAGTTCAGTGATCCAAATTCCAAGCCATCCTGATTTAAGGCGTCTATGCAAAAGTCAAAAGAAGAAAGAATTCCCTTATAGCTCACACCAAAGTATCTCCCACCACCAAAGTATCTCCCACAGGCTAAAACAGTTGAAGACTGGGGGTTACCTATTATTCGTCGGCGGTCCGGGCACGCCTCTATTATACAAAACCGCCCTCAACTTACTTAAAGGAATTACGAAGAAAATTCTTTGTTAAGCTAAAGAGTTTCATTCCAAACAACCATTTATGTCCCACTCCCCAACCCCACACACATAACTTCCAAGTACTTCCATTTTTGTCAAAAATTATACCCATAAACATGTATGCCTGTATAACCATTTTTGTATTCTTGGAGATAGAAAAAAAAAATTTAAACAGCTGATAATTTTTTTCTCTTGTTCTTTTAAATTACAAATTAAATAAAATTCCTAGTTTCTGACATGACTGAAAAATGATAATCTTATTTATTTTCCCAGCTAAACATAAGTAGTACTCAAATACTCTCATAGAAGAAGAGAGAAACAACAAAAAGTAACACACACACACATGTTTATATATATATGGAGAGAGAGAGAAATTGTTCACCGTTCTTGCGAGCCTTAACACGGGAAGAGACAGCAATCCAGACTCTTCTAACAGGGAAGACCATCTTGTGCCACAAATCCATCACTTTTATCTTCACCTTCCCTCTCCTCCTACTACTCCCTCCAAACCGGCTCACTATCTCCCTTAACCCTGCCAGACCTCTCCTCTTTACCAAACCCACCTCTTATATTTACTCAAGGATTAAAGAAGAGAGAGGTATGAACTTTTGGGGGGCAGAGTGTGTTCAGACAGAGAGAGAGAGAGAGTGAGAGATCAGTAACACAGAGAAGGTCCAACGGTTGATCCAGCTTGGCTACATTGATAATAATATAGTACAACATTATTGTCACCGACACGTGACGGTGTGAGGGTGGCCGTTTAATTTTCGAATAAACAAATAGTAATGTGACACGTGGTTGAATGGGTATAGAATTTGGTGGGGGTTTCGGGTTTTAAAGTCTTTTGACGTTAGTGGTTGTGAAACGTGTCATCTTTTGAGTGAGGGAAGGGTAAAAAAGGCACTTAACCTTAAAAAAGACATAGATGCTGTCTTGGGCGGTTTGACCTATTTGAAATTTAACCTTCAATTTGAATTTTTAAACCTTACTTACGAGAATAGCAAAAGATATATATACACATCGGGTCGATTAAGCACAACTTCATTAATTTTTTTATCTATTTAATTAAAAATAAGTCATTCACATCGAAACACGTTTGATCGTAATATCAAATATGTATAATTCTGATGGAACATTTTCAGACACTTCCAGATGATGACACGTGTACTTGGCGTCAGTGGAGACTCTCGCTATGATACCGACACATCTTCATCGGTTTCTAACCCCCCTGCCCCGAAGATGTTATTCACAGGGATCAAGGATCCCCAAACCACCATGGATCGACACGTATTTCTCGACAATTTGGGTACGTCGGTCCTAAATCATGTTAGTCCCTCGGCACCGAGGGGTATTTATCCGCGTGGGCGTTTCTGCACCTACAAGGGCTATTGATGGACAAATCAATAGCCTAGATAAGGCTAGACTAGCCATCATGACCTCGTCTTACTCAAATGGTGTCAGGAGGCACAAGAAAGCAGAAGGCTTAACCAAAAGGGAATGGGCACGTGGCGTATTGTGTCAGATCAGAGACAAAAAGACCAGAATACCCTTGTTGACACACGACTTGGGAAAGCAAGTATTTAATGCATCCTTCCCTTGATGAGACAACATTTAAGGTATGAGAGCTCAGAAGTGAAAGGTAATAAATGTCACAAAGCCTGGGCATTTAATACACCCCTGCCGAGAGAAGATCATTAAACGTTCGGCAGACCGAGGAGAAAGCATTCGTTGCTCGGGGTCTCGAGCAGTAAAGAATAAGATCATTACTCATAGAAATTGGTGTGCACGTTGTCCACTCCCAGTGATTACCTACTAGTTACGCTGTCAGCAATGATGAGTTTTTAAGGTATAAATAGTCCTCACAAATGCAGAAAAGAGGTACGCAACAAATCCTCTCTCAATCTCATACAGTGTTTTCTTCTTCCCCTCTCTCAAAGAACTGACTTGATCGTCGGAGGGAATATGCCAGAAAATACTTCGGCGCCCTTCTAACTTGTTTTTCTTTATTCCAGGAACCTCCTTTAACCTTCCAGGATCACTTAGGCGATTCATTATCGTCCTTGGGCCACCTTCGACCCTCACAACCCTTTCCAAGTAGCAAGATCGACCACCCGATTGACGAACACGTGTTCACTACGGAAGAGATTTGTTCTAGTATTTATATTGTGCAGGATCTTGCACGCACAATCTGGCGTCGTCTATTGGAAACGATTAGTTTGCCTAGTTTCTTCTTTAGACCATGGTGAACACTCGACAGAAAGGGAAAGGTCCCCAGCAAAGAAGTCTCGAGTTACAAGCTCCTCGTCATGGTGGGGGGAAAGATCACGCTGATGACAATAGGAACGTTTCTATTCAGTCAAGGGGGCATACTCCTCAAACCAGTATAGGCATTAGGTCAGGAGAATCCGCCCCCTTGGCTCGTCAACTGACGGAGGTGATTGAAAAAAGTTTGGGGATCGACTACGACAGTTAGAAAAAGATAATGTGAATGTCCTAAGCCGGCTCGACGAATTTGCCACCTCCGACGAAGGATCGAGGGACTTATTTCGTTCCCACGAACGCCTCGTCCGGGAAGCGAAAATCGAGGACCTGAGGAATCATTTAAACAACAAAGCTGAGAGCTCCAGGGTCCCGAAGCGCCCAAGAGCCAACGAGCACCCCCTCGACGGTCAGTTCAGGAAGGCAAGACCTTTGGCCTGGGACGACCTCCGCCGAGGACTATCAAGGCGCGGGAAGGGATATGAGTCCGAGGAGGATTCAACCCTTTCCACGCGATGCCCGAGGAAGGAGAACCCCGTCAATGACCTTGAAAACCTCAGAAGACATCCCTCTGAGGTGGAAATTGATCTCAGAGCCTGGCTGGAATCCAGGAGAAGGGGCAAGGCTGTCCAGGATGACGCCGAAGACGAGGCCATGCAATCACCTTTTACCAGGGATATCCGAGAGATGGAGGTACCAAAGAAGTTCATCGTGCCAAGGTTTAAAACTTATGATGGGCGATCCGATCCCGAAGCTTACCTCAGGCAATACAAGCAAATGATATTTTTGTATCATTCGGACCAACGACTCCTCTGCCGAGTGTTCTCCATGAGTTTGGGAGATTTCGCGATGAAGTGGTTTGAGACTCTTCCTCCCAACAGCATTGGGTCATGGAAGAAGTTGGCGAGGCAGTTTCTAGCCCAATTCATTACGGGGAGCAAGTGACCCAAAGACATTGGGTCATTACTGAAGCGCAGGCGGAGGGAACAAGAAACCCTTCGCTAGTACGCCACCCGGTACTAGGAGAAGGTCAATGATGTAGAGGGGTGTTCGGAAGTCATGGCAGTCGCTTCTTTTAGGCTCAGCTTGGCAAGGGACACGGACCTGTACCGATCCCTGACTAAGAAGACTCACATAGATATGGGCGAATTGATGACCCAGATAAATAAATACTCCAGGATTGAAGATGAAATGGGGGACAGCAAAGGTAGAACTTTCCCACCTAAGAAAAAGAGAAAGAAGCGGGGGACATCTCCCGAAAAGGGCTGGTACCCCCTCCAGGGGGGTCATTTAAAGGTGTTCACACTGTCTTCGAAAAACTCATCTACAAGTTACTCCATAAAATCAAACATGAGTCATTCTTCAAGTGGCCGCCTAGGATGCAGAGTGATCCTTCCACCCGTGATCAAAAGGTCAAATGTTCCTATAACCGGGATTTCGGTCATCACACCAAAAATTGCAGGGTATACAAGTCTTTCTTGGAAGGGCTAGTCCAGGACGGTTACTTAAAAGAATACATCGAGCCCAAGTCAGAAGAGAGACGCGGTCTTGGCCCAGCCGTGGAGTAACACATTGTCATAGACATGATCCATGTATGTCCACTAGATCGCCTGACATCCAAGGAGC